AGCTATCAGAAAAACAGATTCTCACCCTCTGTCCTTTCTCTTTAAGGACAAAATGAAACATCAAAATAGAACACCAAAAGGAATATCCATAAATTACAGAAGAAAGAGGACACCAAATATACAGAAAGATCCATTTGACCGTAATATTCAGGTTGAGAACTTGACCGGGTACTTCACCATGACCTTATTCAGACTATGAGCATAATGGTTAATTTTATATGTCAATTTAACTGGGCTATGGGGTCCCCAGACATTTGGTTAAACATTATTCTGGGTGTATCTATGAGGTTATTTCTGGATGAGAATAACATTTGAATTGGCAGACTGAGTAAAGCAGATAGCCCTCCCTAATGTGGGTGGTCCTCATCGGATCAATCAAAGACCTGAATAGAACAAAAAGGTTCAGTAAGAGGGAACTCCTCCTGCCAGATGGCATAGAGCTGGGATATTGGTCTTTTGCTGCCTTTGGACTTGAACTGAAACATCGGCTCTTCTTAGGCCTGGAGCCTACCAGCTTTTGGACTGGAAATTATACCATCAGCCCTCCTGGACCTCTAGCTTGCTGCCTGCAGATTTTATTTCCTATTGGTTCTGTTTCTCTAAAGATCCCTGTCTAATACAGAGACACTCTTATTCAAATATGTCCCAATGTCCATAAAGAATTTTTTAAAATAAGCTGGCTTAGAACACAATACTAGCTAAAGAATATCTTCTACTCTAAAACATACACTTAACCAAGTAAACAAAAAAAATTTTTTTAAATGCTCTCAGGAGTCCTAGTTACTAGGAAAATCCATCAGTTAGGCCAACTCTCAGCCTTAGAGTTTTGGAGTAACAATAACATACAGACCATCTCTCAGTTCTGGGCTAGGAAAACACCCAGGACTTTGCTTTGTGGGCATTTCTTTGGAGATAGAGAAGACACTCTTTACCATGAAAGGCTGAAAAAATAACAGTGCTGAGAGGAGCAGCTGTTGCTTGAACCAAGCACCAATTTTTGCCCTTAATCTGGGCAACCAGCCTGAAGCAAGTCAGATTCAGGGTCTTTACCCACAAACGGAGGCAGAGAGAGGGGACACTGTGGCAAGGGTCTCCAGTGTCTCCTTACACAACAGGGCTTCTGCTGCATGTGATATATGTACACACATCATGCACGTTCCCATCCATTTAAAAGTGTGAAAGAAAGTTTCATATTGACAGAAATAGGGTCTGGCATTGGAAGGAGCCACAGAGATTCCCTGACCAAACCAGTCATTTTATAGATGAAAACACTGAGATCTATGATGGTAAAGAAAGTTACTTGCCCAAAAATCTGACAGTCAGTTAATGGCACAACAGGGCCAAACCCAGGTCATTGGCCTCCCGACCAACACTCATCATGTTTGTTGCTGATTTTCAGAGTGGACACCACTACAGAGAGGGGATCAGACACACTGCACATCAGAAAATAACCCAGAACCTCATGTGTGTAATTTTGATAACTTCAAAGTCCCTCCAGGATGTAG